TGTACCATTTTGCTGAATCTGTCAACAAATACGAGAATACCCGTATTCCCGCGTGCGTCTTTGGGTAACCCGAAGACGAAATCCATTGAGATGGATTCCCAGCACTCAGCCGGAACCGGTAGAGGCTGTAAAGGTGCACGCAGTGAAGGACTTGACTTCACTCGTTGGCAGACTTCGCATGCGCGAACATACTTTCGCACAAACTGATACTGGCGGGGCCAGTAAAAGTCTCGACTTACCGTGAGATATGTTTTCTCTCGGCCACGATGTCCTCCTATAGGAGCATCGTGATACTCGAACATGATCCGCAAACGCAGATCAGTATCATCTGGAATGACAACACGTGGTGTGTCACCAGAAACGGCTGTATAGTACAGTAAACCGTTACGAGTAGTGTATCGATCTGATGCAGATCGATACGCAGACGACAATCGTTTCAACGATTCTCGAGATGGTTGGGAGAGATGTGACAACAACTTCACTATCTCACCATCTTGGGCGTATGCCCGCCTCACATCATCATACAACGTTGTAGATGGAACTGAGGACGTCATAACCGCAACAGTGACTGTCTCACTGTTGGGTTTCGCGACTGTTTCAAAGTCGGGACGACGTGAGAGTGCATCAGCGACGACATTAAGTCGTCCTGGTTTGTACTCGACCGTAAAGTTGTATTCTGCAAAGAATGACAACCACCGCGCCATTCGTTGTGAAAGGTGCGGGCTGTTCACTGCCGTGCGTAAGGACGCATGGTCAGTGTAAACAACGAAGGGTCTATCTCCTAATAGATAGACTCTGAACTTCGCTAGTGCATACTTCATGGCAAGGAGTTCCTTGTCATGCACTGGATAGTTCCGCTCAGCTGGTTGCAGCTGACGCGACTGATAGCAGACGACGCGTTCAACGCCTTCAAGGTCGTACTGCATTAATGCACAGCCGATTGCGAAATCGCTGGCATCACAGACCACATGAAATGGCCTGTCCTGATCGGCTATTGCTAGGACTGGGGATTGTATCAAGCTCTGCTTGATACCCTCAAAGGAGCGTTGACATTCAGCGTTCCATAACCACCTCTCGTTCTTTTTCAACAAACGAGAGAGGTGTACAGTCATCTCGGCGTAATTGCGTGAATACTTATGCAAATACGCCGCTAGCCCAAGGAATTTTCGAAGACCTTTGACATCGACCGGCACAGGCCAGTCGGTGATCGCCTTGATCTTTTCGGGATCAGGACGTACACCGTTCTTACCAACGATGCACCCAAGAAGTGGTATTTCGCTTGCTGCAAAAATACACTTCTTGAGGTTTGCATACAATTGATGCTTTCGCATGATTGTAAGAACTTGTCGGACGTGGTACTTGTGAACCTCAACGTCCGACTTTCCATCCATAGCTCGACTATGGATGAATACGTCATCGAAATAACTCGGCGCGAACTCTCGTACTGGTCTCAACAGATGTGATACACATCTGTTGAACGTGGCAGGGGCATTACTGAGCCCTTGTGGCATTACTAGCCATTCCCAGAGCATGCCGCTAGGCGTGCTAACTGCGGTATAGGGTATATCCCGTTCCCGCATTAGGATTTGATAGAAGCCATCCATCAAATCCATGGACGAAAAGATGGTACTCTTTGACATACCATCAATGATTACGTCCTTCCTCGGTATCGGCGTCTGAGCCGGTACCGTTGCAGCGTTCAATTTGTTAAACGCGTGCACTATCCGCCACCCTCCTGTTGCTTTTCGCACACAGAAGGTCGGAGAGCTATGTGGGGAAGTTGATTCCCTCACATGGCCCGCTGCTAAACGATCGGCAAAGAACTTGTCGATCGCAAGTACTTGTTCACGAGGCAGTGGCCACTGCTTCATGACACAGTACTTCGAGCCTGGTTTAAGCTCGACTTCGTGTCGAATACCTTTATCCTTCGGTAATTCGCACGGAACAGTTTCAGGGAATACATCCTTGAATTCAACCAAATCCTCATAGAGAGGGTTTTCCTTGAGCGATTCCCATGATTGGGACTCATATCGCTCAATTCGTGTCTTTTCATCTAGGACACTCTCGTCCATAGATGAACTACTGAGAACTCTCTCGTTCTCAGTAAACACTGTTGCTGACCTTATGTCGGTTACATACTCGTCGTCAGCGACGAGTATGCAGATCTGCTTGACTTTGCCACTACGCAGATCACGCAAGAACCTTTTATGTTCGAGCGTTGGCAACTGAGTGATCTCCGAAGTTAACTTCGGAGGCGCAATCAGATCAAGTGTATAAGCGCCTACACATGATCCGTTATTGACTATGACATTCAATGTCTCTGTCATTTCCTGGGGACTTATTCCCTCAGGCTTCGAAGGACTTATTCCTTCGTCTTCCCGGGGACTTATTCCCGCGGGTTTCGGGGAACTTATTTCCGCCGTATTTGTAATCTTGGGACTTATTCCCTTTACTTCCTCTAGCTGGGGTTGCGCAACCACAGCGAGATCCTCTACGAAAGACTCTCCAGTCGATCTAGGATTATCGTTTCGCTTAACCTGAGCGATCGATTGTTTCTCTTCTAGATGTTCCCCTCTAGGGATACATCTTTGTCCCAGTCCACCCGACTTATTCGAGTGGTGGACCTTCGGCGCAGCCTGTGTTTCCTCACAGCCGCCGGAACTTTGCTCCGAAGTGTAACCGTTTGGTACACTAAGGTTTTGTGCAGTCGTACTAACGACCGTACCACAAGTGAGGCCATCGCACTCACTCGTAGTACATCCACACGCTTGTGGACGCTCCAAAACGTTCATCAGATGGCCATCTGATGAACAAGCGGCAGGCATCGTTACTGTCCGATGTTGCCAGTTTACCCGTGGTTCGTACCTTCTGAGCCACGGTATTCCAAGGATGACATCAAATTTGTCATCCAAATCCAATACGATAAAGTCATCGTCATATTGGGTATCTTCTAGCGTATAGTGAATCTTCACTATACGCTTCATGATTGGTTACGGATGCGCCTGTCGCAAGACGTACCGTCATCCTCGTAGGAGGTGTGTCACATTCACTGAATTTAAAGTGACCATCTTCTAGCGATTGGCGTCGCACAAAATTGTTAGACGCCCCACAATCGACTAGAGCTCGAAGGGACAACTTATTCGTCACTTCGAGTTTCAAGGTAATGAGTGAGATCTGATTACCTAGAGCAGCAACGCACAATGTCTGTGTGTTGGGAGCAACCTTCATCAAGAGGCCTACAAATTCTCTTGACGTTGCTGGATCAGTAGGGTGCTCCGCACCTACTGATCCTGTCCGTTTTTTGACGGTCCATCCCGTTGTTGCGTCTTTGCACCAACTGCGGACCCTCGTCCCTGCCCCTTTCTCATGGGTGGACGGTCACTACGCCCAGTGTCGCGAGACACTGGACGAGGGGCACTACACTCGTAAGCGTAGTGTCCTGTCTTTTGACATCTGTTGCATCTCTGCAACTTCTTGTAGCCTGTAGAGCGAGCCTTCTCGCTCTCTACATAACAGAGTTCCATCGGCTCTGGACCTCCGTTGTCATATCGTCTCGGTTGACGATATGATGTCGAGCTGGCGCGAGCCTGTCTCAGACTGAAGTCTTCCTGCTCCGCAATTGAAATGGCTTGTTCTAGTGAATCTAGTTCAAGCCGGAACAGGTGAGTCTTGACGGGACCATCCGCAAGACCCTGCATGAACACCGAAACCAACGTGTGTTCATCCACCGGATTGGAACTTATACAACTCGTGAGATGTCGTATATGTTGAGCGTAAGCGTGCACATCACGCTTACCCTGCTTGAGCTTCAAGAGTTCGGTTCGAGCTCTGAACTCAGCTCTAGGCGGTTCAAACGTTTGTCTGAGCCGCGACTTGAAGACTTCCAACGACCCAAACGCATATGGGTCGTGCAGCTTGAGCCCCAGTGCCCAAGTCTTGGCACGTCCTGCCAGATTTGACTGGGCAAATGCAACTTGCATATCCCCGTCGTCGATGCGACGCGCCCTTATAGCGTCGTCCAATTCGACGAACCATCTCAAGAGGGAGTCTTCTTCGACCCCCTATACTTTGAGATGTCAATCTTCAAAGTCTCGGGCCGACGCGAGTGCATCGACCCGCCAGCAGCAGCCTGCTGCTGTCTCAACAGTTCAAACTGTTGAGCACCTTGTTCTCTCAACAACTCTGCTTGTTGAGAACCTTGTTGGTGAAGCAAGGCTACTTTCTCGCGTTCTGCGTCAAGTTCATTTTGAATGAACTTGGCGATAGTAGCATGTTGGGCATCTCTATTGAGAGCCTCTAGCATGACGCTAACAGCATGGATGCCCATGGTCGAACCCATTCGTTCAACCGCATCCCATTCGACATCGCTCAAATGGGAGTAGCCGTCACGCGTAGCGTGAAAGCTTTGGTCATCTTCATCATCCAACATATTCATGTTGGATGTGAACGCGGTCCTTGGACGGACTACGAAGTGCTACCAGGTGTAACGGGGCACCCTGAAGCTTGTACTGGTGACAGTACAAGCTACTTATTCTGATAACAGAATAAGGCGGTGCCTCGTAACTTCACGTACACTCGTACGTGCAGAGGAAGACGGTAAGAAGAAGCGAGTACTCGGTTAGAGTAAAAAGTAGAACTATATTTATAATAGTTAATGTCTGCAATAAATCACTATTTATCTTCATCTAACTATGTCTAAATACAAATGTGTAAATCAGTTATCTGCTCACCACTCATTGCGTGCGTCTGTCGTGGCGCGTCTTCGTTGGTTGATATAATGGCCTATATCAACCAATTAGGAACTACTTGGAAGTGCTACAGAATATTGTCCTTATGACAATATTCTGAGAATATAACTCTTATAGTTATATTCTATTAACAATTTCTTATAAATTGTTATGTAACGATTCACCCCGTTACAACGCGTGCTGCAGCAGGTGGTGCAAATTAGTCTCCAGTACGCGACTAATTCCAGTCAGCATCAGCATTCGAGATTCGTTTCATTGCTTCTCACTGTTGGCGCGTGTTTGGTGCAGCATCACATTAGTAGACGCCTTCGACTCGATCTTTTCAAGCGAAAGCGAGCTTTTCTCGTCTCGAGTCTCGCACAATCGAACAGCAAGAGGCACAACCGTCGAGTTCATAAACGATTGCCATTCACTTAGCTCAAACTGAGCACCATACATCACGGCAGTTCCAAAAAGAGTGTTGATCGCGCTGTTCCGCACCTCAACTCGGTCATTCAACGCTACGGAGCTAAACTCCGCAAAAATGTATCTACATTGGCCGCACCGTCGCTGGCTACTCGAGTCGCTTTCATGTTGCGTCTTCTGCGTCTCAATCACATCGGCCGCGCTTTAGAGTTCGTTGACAGCTGTATGAATAATGTTAACATCCTTTGCATGACTGCCAAAAAGCCCAATGTATTTAATGCAATCCAGAAAATAGCTGCTGGGGATCGACACCACCAAGCCAACCACGATAAGGAGCAAGCACATGCAAGCGAGCACATGTGTTGTTCCATCTCCGATTGTACAAGCTTCCTGTATTGTAGCAAATACTGGTGGCCAGCCAGAGCTGATGAGGTGACCGCAAGCATTCAGCATTTCCAGCATACCTGTCAATGTGCGGTCATTCTGTTAGAAAGATGCCATTTTGGCGATTAGCGCCAGCCGTTTTGCTAATAGATAGTAGCAGAACGTGTACGGAATAGATGACTGGATGAGATCGATAGCTAAGCAAGGCAGGAGAGAGCGAGAAAGTAATAGGCAATAGACTGAAAATCAATGACACCCTGCGGCGTCAAGGAACGTTTTCCTACAGTTTATGAGCCCAATGGCCGGAGCCACAGACGCAACTACGAGGACGCCAGATGGCGTCGCGCGACCTTTAACTGGACGCCGATCGCCTGCTCGAGTCCCACCGATGGGTCAAGCGCCCGCAGTTGTCGATGTCTCGCCCGCTCGCGAAAGGAGCGAGGCAACTGACGATAAGGTTCTTGCCGCCCTCGTCGGCTGGACGGAGCGCCTGGCGAAGCTTGAGTAGTTGCAGCGCGTCCGCGACGAAGACGAACGGATGCTCGGCGCTGTTGAGGGTGGCTTGTTCGCTTCCGCCCTTGGCGCAAGCAAGCGCGGTCGACCGATGACCATCAATGAGCTTGGGTGGCCGGAGCAGAAGCCAGCAGCTGACTCGGCGCAAGCGCGAGAGCCGGATGACTGCGTTTCGATGTTTGCGTCCCTGGCACCACTGCGCGGACAAGTACCACCCCAAAAAACGAGTGCCCGCGCAAGCAGCAACAACATCAGCAGGATCCCGGCAGCAAGCGGAAGGGATGGACTACATCTCGACACCGACTGCGAGCCAGCGAAAGTTGTCGATCCGAAGGTTCGACGGGACCGAGCTCTACCGAGGTTTGGGTACTTTTTTTCGAATGGGGACGTACATCCTTGCGCTCGACAAGCTCGCCGAGCGGACATGTGGCATCTTCTGGTAGGAAGACTTGAAGGTCGACCTGGTCGGCCATTTCTTGTCGAGGACAGCGGAACGCTACTGCCACAAGCAAGTGGACACGTGGTGGACGCAACAACCGACGATCGACTACGTCATGTGTCAGCTGGTGGCGACGTCAAAACGGCAATTGTGGCTATCCAAGCGATGTTGATTTTTATGACGAAAAAAGAAGAAAAAGCGAACGTGGTTGGAGCATTTCCACTACATGGTCGCCATGAGAGACGCGCGCGGTGGATCGGACTCGCTCGTCCTGGACAACATCGTCCATCACGCGTCACCCGAGCTCATAGACGTGATGATGGCCAAGTACGATTCCACAAGACCCTACTACATGCGGCACGTGGAGGAGCTGGCGCAGATCGCGCAGTCTATCCAGCACGGGAGTGGCGCGGTGGGACGTGAAGTCATCGCAGAGCACGTTGACGCGCGACCAGAGAAGCGAACCTGCTTAACTTGTGGAGAGGTCGGGCACGTGCAGCGAAACTTCCGTGCTAAGGACACCGTGGTGGACGAGGAGCACGGTGAAAGCAGTTAAAGGGGCGTGATGCTGCTCGCGCTGAAGGAGATGCCCAACAAAGGCGCAGGAGGCAGCATATCGTAGCCCGCGCCGACAAAGCAGAAGGACTACGGCGGAGGGAGCAGCAGATCGCTATCCACGCCGAGAGAAAAGCCCGCGCGCTCTGGAAACTGGCGCCGCGGCAAGAAGAAGAGCGAGTTTGTGTTCGCGATCGACGACGCCGACAAAAGCGATAGAAGAGGCTGGGTCCTCAACAGTGGTGCTAGCCGCCACCTTGTGAGTGACTCCCAATAGCTGTTTGAATCGAAGCGTGCAACGACGAGATTGCCATGGCAAACGGTGTGTCGCTCCAGCTGACGAGATGCGGCAGCTTGCGACTAAACATCATCGCGACCGGCGCAGCGGTGACCGTGACGCTCACCGACGTCTACTTGGCTCCAATCCTGGCCAAAAATATTATATCCTACGAAAACATCGAGCGTAAAGGGTTCGCGCTCGTGTGTGATGAAGACAAGCGGTCGCTCACCCGGCGGAAGGCGCTGTCGCTTTTGACGTGGCAATGAGAAGCAACTTGTTTTACGTGCAGACCACGACAACAAAACGACAAAGAAGAGCTAGCAGCGCCATTATGGCGGTATTCGGGTCAGGCGCAGCCGAATATGGCGCAGCCAACAAAGGGATTACTGCATCATTTCCACCAGCGGATCGCGCACTTGGCGTTTGACACCATCGGGCGAATACCGCGTGACCCGGCGTCTGGTAAACGTCTCACGAGCCACTGGCGCATGGCGTGCGTGTCTTGCATAGAGAAAAAGCATACGCGCAACGCACAGCCGCAGAAAGACAGTGGCGAAGACGCGCCGATGGATCGCATCGGCGGCGTGATATGTTCGGAGCTGAAGGGTCCGATGACACCTCAAAAACCGATATTTGTTCAATTTTGTTGATCACTAGAGCAACTACTGCATGATCCTCCTCGCGCGGACGAAGGACGCCGCAGCCAAGCAATTTGAGACGTTCTTGACGCACTTCGAAAAGCGATTTGACTGTTGGATTCGCGTGCTCCGCATTGACGGCGGCGGCGAGTACTCTAACGTGGTCCTTTTCTGCAATCGCACCGGAGTGGCGCGGCAGATCTCGGAGGAGAGGAACCAAGCTTAGAACGACAAAAAAGAGCACATGCACCGCACGAAACTCAACCTCGCGCAAAGCCTGATTTTTGCCTGCGCGCTGCCACCCAGCTTCTGGAACGACGCTGTGTTGTACGCGGTGTACGTGCTTATTAGGAGCTCGACGCGCTCAAATTTGAAGCGTGTGTCGCCGCTCGAAATGCTAAAGGGCACCGCGCCTGACTTGCGGCACATCGTCGTCATGGGTCGCAATGCTACGTCTACTGCGACCCGCGCAGAAACCCGCTGGCGCAGCGATCGCAGATCTTTTGACTTTTGGCAACAGCCAAGAGCGAGTTGAGGTGGGAGAGCTTAGAAGAAGGTAAAATGGAAAGTGAATTATCATCTAGCTAGGTCCTTAGTTCGTCTCGTTGTACTACTCTAAGCCTATCGATATCGACTCTATAATATTAGTAACAAAACGATGAGTCGATCCCATCGTTACACACTATCACACAGTGTCGTCCATGACATATGGTCATTAGTATCAGTAACCAACACCGTTACCAATACTCCCCCTCGACTAGAAGTCTCTGATCCTGGCCTTGTCCAGCAGCGACTCGAACTTCTTTGTCGAAATCGGTTTGGTCAGAAAATCTGCCAGCTGTGACTTGGTTTCAGTATACTGCAGGTCGATAATCTTGTCTTTCACCTGTTCGCGCACAAAATGGTATCTGATGTCGATATGTTTCGCTCGACTTTGATAGCCGTCGTTCTTAGCGATAGCGATTGCACTCTGGTTGTCTTCGTGAATCTTGACAGCATAGTTAATCTGCACTTGCATCTCCTTGAGTAGACTTCTTGTCCACAGAACCTCCTGCACACATAAAGAAAGAGCCATATACTCTGCTTCTGCCGTGCTCAGTGCCACGCTCTGCTGCATCTTCGACTTGAAAATCACAGGTGCGCCATTAATCATGATAAAAACTCCCGAAATCGATCTGCGATACCACTTGTTACTTGCCCAGTCTGCATCGGTGTACGCGCTCAGCTGAAGATTGCCTGAAACTCCTTCATAACAAATTCCTTTGCTCTGCGTCGTCTTCAGATATCGCAACACTCGAATCGCTGCATTCCAGTGCTCTTCATGTGGAAATTCCAAATGACGACTCAGCTGACATACTGTATACGCAATATCTGGTCGTGTGCCTGTTGCCACATACAACAACGACCCCACTAACGATCGATACGGTCGATTCTTCATTCTTGTGTCAGCTTTGTCCATCTTGACCATCGCTTGCCCTTCAACACTTGGATTTGACACTGCTTTCGCATCAACTTGATTAAATTTCTCGACCATTCTTGATATACACGATCCTTGACTGATCTTCAGACGTCGATTGTTGCGCAGGTACTTGACTTCGATTCCAAGAACGTATCGAACACCCCCTAGTATCTTCAACTGGAAACGACTTGATAGTTGAGCTGCCACATCTTCCATCACTCCAGTAGATTCAGCCCCAATTAGAAGGTCGTCCACATATAATGCAGCGTAAATCCACGAGCCCTTGGTCTCTTTGACGAAAATGCATGAGTCTGCCACGCATGAAAAGAACCCCATCTCCACAAACACACACGAAATTGTCTTGTACCATGTAGCGGCCGCTTGTTTCAGCCCATACAGACTGCGATTCAGCTTAAGCACTTGATTATGTTCTGCACGAACACCCAGAGGAGGGTATACGTATACCTCTTCTTCCAAAACGCCATACAGAAACGCAGTGTCGACATCATATTGATGAATCAACATCCCCTTTTGACAGCACACCGCCAAAAACACCCGTATTGAGTTGAGGTTTGCCACAGGTGAATATGTCTCCATGTAGTCAACTCCATACGTCTGCCTGTAGCCAAGTGCTACAAGACGTGCCTTGTATCGAATAATCTCACCCAGCTCGTTTCGTTTGAGTGCGAACACCCACTTGGTTCCAATCACTTTCTGGTTTGGACGCTGTGTTTGAACAGTCCAGGTGTCCTTTTCCTCTAATGCCTTGAGCTCAGCTTGAATGGCCTTGTACCAATTATCACGACGAGGTGACTTAAGAGCTTCTTCGTATGTCGTTGGGGTCTCGAACGCTGCACATGCTTGCTCATACCCAATACGTAGTCTCTTTGTGCCTTTTTCTTGACACACTTCTGAGCCGTCATAAAAGTCCTCATCAGCACCATTCACTGGTATTAACGCTTGAGATTGTCCATGTTGAACCGATTCTAGTGGAACCATCGCGGTTTCTTGCGATGCTTGAATACTTGTCTGTCGACTTGGTCGTATCACCATCTGTCCTTGTCTTGACACGTCTTCAGCCGATTCTTGATCTTCTTCAATCATCGTCACATCATCAATTTCAAACATTGGATCGTCAGCATTGGAACCCACGTGTTCAGGCATCTTGCTACTGCATCTTGATGGTAGAGCCATCGTTGTTGTACGCCTGTCTTGCATGTGACTCTCTTCTTGAACACTGTGACTGTCCTCCATTGCTATGTCCATGTCTTTCGTGACTCGTGGCTGTTCTAAATCGATAGAAACAGTGTCTTCGTCATGAACAGCGCGAAACTCTTGGTCACTTGATCTGCTGTAACGTTGCACGTACTGAAGTGGTGGTCTCTCATCGAATTTAGCCGATCTCGTGTGCGTCACCCTCTTGGCATCTTCATCCCATATTCGAAGCCCCTTGATTTGATCCGAGTAACCCAGAAAAATACATCGAATCGCCTTCTTGGTCATCTTGGTCCTGTTCGACTTGTCGACATGTGCATATCCCTTTGATCCAAATACACACATCTCGGAGAGGTCAGGCTTCTTCCCGAAGATGAACTCAAATGGAGTTTTAGTCGGGTGACTAGCACATGGAACTCGGTTTGTCACATAGACTGCCGTGTTCATCGCCTCAGCCCACCAAATTTTATCCACTTGCATATGGCTGAGCATTGCTCTAGCCCGCTCTGTCAGTGTCCTGTTCATGCGTTCGGCCAGCCCATTCTGTTGTGGCGAATAGGGTACCGTCGTCTGATGCATGATACCAGATTTTCGACATACACCGGAGAAACGTCTGTTGACGTATTCCGTCCCGTTGTCCGTCCTGATACACTTGATCTTCTTGGACAGTTGATTCTCCATAAGTGCCTTATACTCTATAAAGCGATCCGTCACTTCCGACTTGTTCTCAATATAGTATGCGACTATATATCTCGAATAATCATCAATAAAAGTCACGACAAATCTTGATCCTCCTCGAGACTTCGATTCCATAGGTCCCATGACATCACTGTGGACCAACTGCAACACCTCCTTGGTTTTCACGTGTCCGTATGGTGACTTCGGAAACGTCTTGACGGTTGCTTTACCCATGATGCACCCTTCGCAGATCTCGATATCATCTTCAACGCCTTGATTCTTCTTGATCTTTAATCCATGGACGCAACCTGCCATACCCTTGAGCATCTTCGTTGACAGGTGACCTAATCTTGCATGCCACACTTGTAGATCAGCCGCTCCTGATCCGTCACTTGATTCTTGCTCTTGAGATGTCTCTCCGCAAACGTTGGCTACCTCAGCCGGACTGCACTCTAAGACGTACATCTTGTTTCGTCTTGGTATTTGGGCAACGACTTCCGTGTTACTTCTGATCTGACAGCTCAGATCTGAGAAGATCACTTGTAGACCCCTCTTTGACAATGCCGATATTGACAGTAGCCTTCGGTCTAGGCCCGGCACCCATAGCGTTTCTTCGATCCTGATCACTTCACCAGTCTTGAGTTGCACGCGCACTGTCCCAACACCTTGCGCTTCCACTTCGCTGCCGTCTGCTATGGTGATCATGATCGGGTCCGTCAGTGAGTTTAAATTCGAAAACTCATTTCTGTCGGGACACATGTGGCTGCTTGCCCCACTGTCCAATAACCATCCAGCTGACGTCCGACTTGACGCAGTAAATGCTCTCTCTTCTCCAGATCGCTCTGTCTCCACTTGTTCAGCCTTGCAATCTTGACGCTTGTGCCCATATTTGTTACATCGGTAACACCTTCCCGAAAACTTTTCACCTCTTGAACTTGATCTCCCCATATGTCTGCGCGGACCTTTCTTGTACTTGGAAGTGTGCGTACTTTTCAGTGCGATTTCTTGGTGTTCTGTCCTCGCCATTCCATCGTACTCCCGTCTCAGCATTTCCTTAGCGTGAAACAGTGTCATTCCGGGCATGTTCTCAATTATCTTGACGATAGGGTCATAGTCTCTCGTTAGACTACCCAATAGGATGACCAAATGCTCATCCTGTGAGATCTCTTGTCCCACAGCTTGCATAGTCATGCACAGCTCGTCAAATCTCAGGAAGTGATCCATGATGCTTCCTCCCTTGGCCAACTTGAACTCATGTAGTTGCCGCCGCAACTGCACACGATTGTGCATACTTTGCCGCAGGAAGAAAGTCTTCAGTATGTCCCATGCTTTTGCCGTTGTCTCTGCCGTGCGCACCATTGACTGAAGATTTGTGCTGATCATTGTGGACACAATCGCGAAGGCCTTCATGTCGTTGACTTTCCAAGTTGACGCGCTTGCGTCTCCTTCTTCTGGGGCCTTCATAGCGTCTAGGTGCTCTAGCAATCCCTTCTTTGCCAGCCTCATCCTTGCGTTGAACTCCCACACGAAGTAGTTATCTTCGCGGAGTATGTCGCCCGCATCCGGCGTAGTTGGGCTCATAACCTTTTGACTTTTGGCAACAGCCAAGAGCGAGTTGAGGTGGGAGAGCTTAGAAGAAGGTAAAATGGAAAGTGAATTATCATCTAGCTAGGTCCTTAGTTTGTCTCGTTGTACTACTCTAAGCCTATCGATATCGACTCTATAATATTAGTAACAAAACGATGAGTCGATCCCATCGTTACACACTATCACACAGTGTCGTCCATGACATATGGTCATTAGTATCAGTAACCAACACCGTTACCAATAAGATCAGTACGATCATCGGGATCAGCGACAAGACCAAAGATTACAAGGTCTGGTTGAGAAAGCAGGCAAAGTAATCTTCACCCAGCACTTTAAAGGAATCAACACGTTGAATGAGACTTAATCCGCGCAGCTGCAACGCTCAATGGGCAGCGAAGACCAAGCCGATGCTGCGGAGGAGACAGATCCAGGAATAGATTCGCCAGTGGTGCCGAGGCACGATATATAACCAAGGCAAAGAAGCCGTGGGCTCTTCAGGCACGCGTGGCGAGACAAAGCACGCGCAAGCAGCATGCAGTCAGGAGGAGCCAGGAGCGGGTGAGGACGTCGTGAGTGCGGCGTTTTAACATCACCAGTAGAACTACGCCGAGGATATGTGAGTTACCAAGAGAGACGGCTTGGTTAGAGCAATGGAGGAAGAGGCTGCAGCTCTGCAGGACAACGACGTCTGTACAATCACACAACAGGCGCCGGTTGTTACGCTGTGCATACCAAATGAATGTACAAAATGAAGACAACTGACAATGGCGATCTGGAGCGGCTCAAGGCGAGACTTGTGGCCTATGAAAATGATCAAGTACATGTAGTCGAGAACGGGCTCACGTTCGCAGCAGTTATAAACCTCTCGACTTTACAGGCCACCCTCGCGCTTGCTGCCACGTGGGGGTGCCTGCCAAGCATGGCGACATCCTAACGCGTATGTTAAGGCGGACAAAGAGGATCACTTGCGGAATTACCTCCATTTGCCGCTCGGCAAGAGTATGTCTAATGTGACGCTACAAAAACACGGCGCGACCAGCTCGAAAGAACTCGTGCTTGAGCTCCGAAATAGCCTGTACGGGCTAAAGCAAGCCTGAAGGCTATGGAACCAGCTGCTCCACACCAAACTATCGGCCGCAGGTTAGCGGCGCTGCTAGAGCGACATCTGCCTCTATTGGAAGAGCGACAGAATGGATCTCGTCGTCGTAGGAGTGAACGTCGATGACCTCCTCGCATATGGTACGAGTGCTGCTGCGGCTGATCGCTTATTCGGCAGCCTCGCATCGCTGCCTATAAAGGACTTGGGCCGATTCAGCAAGTTCCTCAAGATGCGCAAGGAGCTAAATGACGACGGAGGGTATCGTCTGGACTAGGAGGAGGCGATGGGTGACCTTCTGCGGAGCAATGGGCTTACAGACGTGATTGCGGCGTTAACGCCGATCGGAGACGACAGCAACGACGAGCAACCTAGCGACTCGGAGCTCCTCGTATCAGCGAATGCGCCTCCGGGACCGATGGTGCGCTAATTCAATCGCTGGTGAGCTCGCTCCTTTGGGTTGCGCGTTTTACGCGCCCGGACATTGCCTCCGCGGTCCATAAGGCGACGCGGTAGACGCACGCTCCGCGCGTGCTTGACTGATTTTTGACGAAGCGCATCGCGCGCTATCTCAATGGTAATGTGACACTGAAGATCACGATTAAACTTTTTCGAGATGACAACGCAGCGCCGCGACTTGACGCGTTTAGTGACGCCGACTTTGCGGGCGACAGGGCAGACAGAAAGTCGATGACGGGCGGCGTGCTTTTACTGAATGGTTAGCCGGTAAGCTGGGGTGCGCCCAAGAGGGTTGCGTGTCACTGTCATCGATGAAAACGGAGTTCGTGGCCGCAAGCGAGATCGCACGGGAAAAGCTAGGGATGCGATGGATGATAATGGAGATGGAGCTATCACAAGCGCTGCCCATGCAGATGCACTTTAACAACCAGGCGGCTATAAGCCAGACTGCTGGCGAAGCGTCGTTGATGAAGGCAAAGCACGTGGAAGTCCGCCACAACTTCTTATGCGATTTTGCTTGATGTGGAATTATTAAAGCGCGCTACGTTAGGTTCGAGGAAATGCTCGCGGACCTGCTGACGAAGGCACTGGATGGTAATAAGCTTGAAACGTTGCGCTAGCTAATGAAGATCGGGTAAAAGATAGATGACGCCGCAGGATGATGAAGAGAGGTGATAAAACGGGGGCGCACGCGAGAAAAAAGTGTTGAAAAGTTAACATTCTGGCGATTAGCTCCAGCCGTTTTGCTTAGAGATAGGTGCAGAACGTGTACGGAATAAGTGAGTGGATGAGATCGATAGCTAGCAAGGCAGGAGAGAGCGAGCAAGCTTAAGGCAATCGACATAATCTTGTAAACCTCCTACAGCGTCAACGAACTTTTTCCTGCACTTTCACGTCCGAGCGTACCAGCTTCAGCAGCGGCATGAACAATTACTGCTGATCAAAACGCATGCGAGTATGTAGGATTTTTCCCTCTCTTTCGATGCCACGACTTTCCATTGTTGACTTCGCAGTAAGTGGTGCACTGCTGACAACGTGCTGCTGGGCGTTTTGCATGAGCTGCAGGACACTATCAGTAGCAAACACCTGAAATTGAACTAGTTGGGGAAATTGGACAGCCGTTAGAGGGGCTTGGAGCTCGTACGTGCTCATGAGGACTAGTTCATGCATAACTTCATCGAAACACCGCTTGCTGCTCGACGCCAATTGAGTCAGCATGCGCAAAGCGAAGCATGGCGTAAAGCTGCCAGTACCAGTGAGGCCTACACCCAAGTAGCTATGATAGATTTCATACGGTGGAAGCTTATGGAGCTCGATGAGTCACCTTCATCAGCTATCTTCCATCCGTCGGTAGGTGATTCCGTGCTAGTCGAATCCGACAGAAACTCCGAACCTCTGCTCGGCATTGGGGGGCTAACTTGGTTCCACAAAACCCTTCTTACTGCACTCAGCAGCTTTTGCTGAGCGGCACTACTCATCTTACGCGCACCACAAATCAAATCCACGACCGAATTGTTCAGCGTCACCAACTGCTGTTCAACGTCTTTATCTTCGATTCGAAAAGCCCTGATTCGATAAGTTTTAGTCGGTAACTTTTGCTGTCCTTTCCTTCGCTTTGCATCTGTAAGGTCCACAATGATTTCAAAGCCCTCGAGTAACTCGCACCACTCCGTCTCTGAAAGCTCTTCCTCCATAACATGTGCAGCGCCAAAAAGCGCCTTCATCGCATGCACCTCGCGCCAGCTGATCGTCACAAGGCAACTTTCGCCATCATTCGCCCCACTTTCGCCTACGGTCTCAATGGATCGACTGCTGCCCGAGCCAGTCGTTGATATCGATGCTTTTGTGTTTCCTCGAATCCCATCCGGTAAGGGGAAGGAGAATCCACATAATACTCGTAAGCAAGTCAGCACCACCTCATCCATCGGCTTACACCACGTGTCCCTACCGGTTTGGCCCTGCATGTTTGCTCGCAGCCTCGACGCGATCGTAGCTAGTACATGGTATGCTTTGAGAGATATAGTGACGAGGTCCACCTCAATACAGTATCGCATCACGCAGTTCATAGACTTGACAACGGCAAGGGCCACTACGGCAACGCACGCTTTAGCCAGATTCTCACATACTTTCTCGTTGGCGGCAGATCTCCACAGCTCGAAAACAGAGGCCGCCATGTTGCACTGGCACGAAGCGGCAACACGGACAGCCATGTAAGACGGCTGGAGCACGGGTGTTTCTTGCTCGTTCAGCAACTCACGACCAGAGTGATGTGCAGTTGCATCCAGACCTTGAAATTAAAATCGAATGGTGGTGATGTCATAATTACCGATGATTTCGTGCGAATGATAGCAACCAGCACAACATTAGGGAAGCTAACCATTGCCATAACGGGGTAGCCCGTTAGATGATATTGATACCAAATGGTGTCAGTAGGGAGATTGTCTAGCGTGACAATATTCCTTCACTACTATCCGAGATGGATAATATTGAAGGAATTTTGTCCCCTTTTAGGAAAATATTCATGCGTTGCTCAAAGATTAGTTGATAAAAGACTATTTAACAATATATTAACACCAATCGCTGCTACGCGCGCGCAATAAGTGGTGAGCAGGTTGTCGTCATACGACGACGTAGCTTAATATAGTTAGATAAAGATTAAAGTCATACTGATATCTTAACTACATAAAAATTCAGTTCTCTTTTACCCGTTTACTCAACATAGCTGTTGAGTAGATTAGCTTCCTCTGCACGTACTAGTGTACGAGAAGTTTCGTGGCACCCCAAAAAAAGGTTGCCCTGTTACACCTGGAAGCACTTCGTAGTCCGTCCAACGACTACTTAGTATCCGTCTAACATGAAAATGTTAAACGTTGAATACGACAGTTATCACGTCACAAGTTAACGCTACTCCCATCTAAGTGACTCTGAATGAGAGAAAGTCGGCCTTATGAGTGTGTTCGTGGGCGAACCCGCCATCAGTGGCATGTTGGAGTCTCTCAGCAGAGACCAGCAACATGCTACTATCAACAAGTTCCTACAAGAGGGACTTGCCGTCGAACGACAGAAGATAGCCTTGCTACAGCAGCAAGGCTCTCATCAGTCGATGGGCGGGCCGACGCACATGCGTCGACCCAAAACCTTGTAGATTGATAGCTCAAAGTACAAGGGAACCGATGAAGATTTCCTTTTGAGATGGTTTGTTGAGCTAGACGACGCCATCAGGGCCCATCACATCGTGGGCGACAAGATGCAAGTCACCTTCTCCCTGTCCAATTTGACAGTACGAGCAAAGACTTGGGCCTTCGGGCTCAAGCTTCACGACCCAAATGTGTTTGAGTTGTTAGAGCTTGAATTCCCGGCTCAAAGAAACGTTGAGCCGCCAAGAGCCGAGTTTAGAGCTTGCTCTGCACTCTTGAGGCTAAAGCAAGCTAGGCGTGAAGTGCACGCTTATGCACAAGACCTTCGCTACCTTGCGAGTAGCGTCAAGGAAACCCTGTTGATGAGCACACGTTCATCAACGTGCTCATCTACTGCCTTGTAAATGGACCGGTAAAGACCTACATGTTCTGAAAGGACTTCCATAAGCTGGAAAAGGTGATAGCGTATGCGTAACAAAAAGACTTCAGCCTGAGACAGTCTCAGGATAACTCGTCAAACTATCGTCCGACAAGACGACAGGAAACAGGAGGTCCCTAACCAACGGACGTCTATTACATCGATAGCGAGAACTCTAGCCTTCCGAGTCACAAAAGAACGGCAAGATGCCATCTCTTTCAGAAGATCAGGCACTACGCTCGTGAGTGTAGTGCCCTAAACACCGCAACATGTCCAACTACAGAACGTGGTGACCGCCGTCGGACGGGGAAAGGTCCAAGGCGTGGATACGACCATGTCGCTAAACCGTGACAGCAAGTCGGAAATGCCAAAAAACGGACAGGGTCAGTAGGGGCGGATCACCCTGATGATTCAGCAACTTCAAGAAAATTTGCAGGAATCTTGACGAAGATTGCTCCCAACACACAGTTTATGTGTGTTACTGCCCCTAGTGACGAGGTGTCACTCATCACTTTGAAGATCGAAGTCACAAGTGGAATTCACTTCGTGCCCTAGTTGACTGTGGGGAGTCGAACAGTTTTTTTCAACGCCAGTCGCTAGAGGATAGTAGGCTCAACTATGTTGAGAGAGAGTTCCCTCCAACGAGGATGACGGTACGCCTTGCTACAGGCGCATCCGTAACAGTGAACAAACGTGTAGTGGGAATCCACTACACGCTAGAAGGAAAGCAGTAAGATGATGACTTCATCGTACTGGATTTGGATGACAAATTTGATGTCATTCTCGGTATACTATGGCTTAAAAAATAATAGCTATGGATCAGCTAACAGCATCGATCCGTGAAGATGCCTACCTTTTGTTCATCGGATGGACATCTGATGAACGGCTTGGAGCGTCCACAAGTATTTGGATGTACTATAAGTGAGTGCGATGGCCTCACCTGTGGTACGGTCGTTAGTACGACTGCACAAGATCACACTGAAGAAGGCCACTGCACTGTAAAACCAGCTTCCGGCACCTGTGTAGAGACACATGCTGCACCGAAGGTTCACCACTCAAAGAGATCGAGTGGACTGGAACAAGGATGAACTCCACGATATGTGCGCCCAAGAAGAGATGTTAGTGTTGTTCAGGATGAACAACACGCTGATGCGAGATCGATCAACAGAGAGTCGATCGTAGAGCAAGCCTGATCGACTGAAAATGAGTCGATCGAAGAGAACGTGACTATGGTAAAACACCACAGTCGGTACACGTATCGAACGAAAGCTCCAGCGTTCCTCAGAATAACAACCCTTGATTAAGTTATGTTGAGGGTGTGGATCCCTAACCAACTGCGGATGTGTTTCTCAGGTAATCACCGAGACATTGAATGTCTTGGTGAATGCGGATCACGTTTAGGCGCTTATATAATTGAGTTGGGTTTACCTCCTAGGTCAGATCAAAGGTAAATCAGGTTGCCAACACTAGAATTTAAACACTTTTCGCGAGATCTGCGTAATGACAATATCAAGCAGATCTGCGTACACGTCACAGAGGATGAGTACGTCGCTGATATTCGGTCGGCACAAGTGTTTTCTGAGAGCGAATCGGTTCTCAGAGCTCATCTATGGACGAGAGTGTCCTCGATGAGAAGACTCAGATTGAGCAATACACGTCTCAAACTTGGGAGTCTTTGAAGACAAATCTTTTGTATATGGAATTGGTTAAATTAATGGATTTTTTTTTCTGAATCCGTGCCATACGAGTTGCCCAAGAATAAAGGCACTTGGTATAAGATTTAACTAAAACCCAGTTCGAATTACTGTGTCATGAAGCAGTTGCCACTGTCTCGTGAACAAGTCACAGCGATGGATAAAGTCTTTTTGATCGCTTAGCGGCTAGTCATGAGGTAAATAACAACCCCACACAGCTCTCCGACCTTCTGTGTGCGAAAGGATACAGGAGGGTGGTGGATAGTGCACGCGCTCAAAATATTGAACGCTGCAATGTTACCGGCTCAAACGCTGATCTCAAGGAGGGACGTCACCATAGATGGTATGGCAAAGATAACCATCGTTTCGTCCATGGATTTGATGGACCGATTCTATCAGATCCTCATGCGTGAGCGGGACATCCCGTACATAGCAATGAGCACCCCCAGTGGTATGCTCCGGGAGTGGCTAGTAATGCCACAGGGGCTAAGTAAGCCCCTGAAACCTTTAAAATATGTGCTACAAATCTGTTGCGATCGGCGCGATATTTCCAACCGACTTACCTTGGTGAATTCTTCGTCCATAGACGGGCTATGGATGGAAAGAAAGACACAAAGAAATTAAAGTTTACGTCTGGAAGGTTCTACAACTAATGCGAGAGCATAATTAGTTCGCGAACCTGAATGAGTGCATATTTGCAGCGAACGAAATAACACATCTTGGCTGCATCGTGGGATAAAACGGCGTACGCCCTGATCAGGAAAAGATAAAGGAAATCAGCGACTGGCCTGTGCCAGTCGATGACAAGGGACTTCGATAGTATCTTGGCTTAGCGGCGTATTGCACAAATACTCGCTCTACTTCACCGAGACGAACGTACATCTGTCTCGTCTGCTATAAAACGAGAGGTGGTCATGGAGTGCTGAGTGTCAGCACTCCTTCAAAGGTATCAAGAAAAGCTTGAAATGATCGCCTGTGTTGGCGATTGCAGACCAGGACGGACAATTCCATGTGATCTGTGACGCCAGCGATTTTGCAATCGGTTGCGCGTTACTGCAGTACGACCCAGAAGGCGTCGAGCGCGTCGTCTGCTATCAAATGTGTCAGCTGCAAGCAGCTGAGCGTAATTACCCAGTGCATGACAAGGAAGTCCTTGCCATGAAATATGCACTGGCTAAGTTTCAGGTATATCCTTAGAGGACAGGATCTTCATCTTTTATACCTACCATGCGTCGTTTACGCACGGCCGTAAACAGTCCACACCTCTTGCAACGAATGGCAAGGTGGCTGTCTTTCTTTGCGGAATATAACTTTTATGTCGAGTGTAAATCAGGAAGACTTGATGTCGACGCTGATTCTCGTACGCGGTGGCCCGGTTTCAAGCCGACTGCTCAACCGAACAGTAGGGGTGATCCCACTTTTGCGACACTATCATTGAGTGTTCCATCGTCGAATCTGCTCGACGACGTGCGGAAAGCCTACGCAAAAGATGACCCACTTCTGCGATTGATAAATTATGAATCCTATCCATACAGTCAAGCTTGAAAAGCTTGTCGTCTCAATACCGAGCTTCAACCGAACGGTGTTTGATTCGTGATAGACAGCTGTACTCTACAGCATTAAGCGGCGACACACCTCGTGTCGTCGTTCCCGCTCACAATGATTTGCGATTGCGCATCATGTATGCGTGTCACGATGCTCCATCAAGTGGGCATCGCGGTAGATAAAAGACTTACCTCACGGTTGGTCGTAACTTCTACTGGCCGCTCCAGTATGATTTTGTGCGCAAATACATTCGCGCTTGCGAAGTTTGTCGACGGGTGAAGCCTAGTCCATCATCCCGTGCACCTTTGCAACCTCTACCGGTTCCGGCAGAGTGTTGGCAGTCCGTATCGATGGACTTCGCCTTTGGATTTCCCAAAGACGCCCACAAGAATACTGATATTCTTGTGTTTGTTGATTGGTTCAGCAAGATGGTACATCTTGGTGCTGTACCGGAGTGAACCACAGCCCAGGGATGTGCACAAGCCTTCATCGATACGATCTTCCGACTTCACGAATTTCCCCGAGAACTCGTGTCTGATAGAGACCTATGATTCACAGTGGACTTCTGGCAATCCGTGTTCCGTTCACTTGGAACACGTTTGAAGATGTCGACTTCTGACCATCCAGAAACAGATGGTCAGACGTAACGCGTCAACCGCATCCTCGAAGAGATACTTCGAGGGTATGTCCACTTGTTAACGCGCTGGAGTGAGTTCTTGCCGATGGCGAAATTCGCCGTCAACAACTCCGTGAATGCGCCGACACCGCATACACCGTTCTTCGTGAATGGCCTACGCCATCCACGTTTACCCGCCTTCTTAAAGTGTGACTCTAGTTTAAGGGGGGTGGACTCGCTCGAACAAAACCGATCTGGTTTATTGCTCATCACCCGTCAACAATGATGTCGACGTGATGGATGCCGATGTCGATGCGATCGACATCGATGATGATGACGTCGATGCTGGTATATTCAGCATCGCCAATGACGGCCACAGTGCGGACGATGATGCCCTCACTGGTGAAGACAAAGTTCTTTCAGCAGTGCACACGAAGCGCACTGCTGTTGACAAGGATGAAATGCAGAGGAATTTCTGCTGACTCCCGAAGGTGTTCTCCGCTTCGTTCAAGACTCTATTGCAGATGCACTAGACGGACAGAAACGAAACTCAGACAAAAACGGAAGATCAAATGGTCTTTTATTTGATGAAGGAGACCTAGTTCTACTGTCTACAGTAAACTTACCGAATCACGCATTGACAAACGTGGGCAGCAGTTAATTACTGCCCAGGTACATCGGTCCTTTCGTGTGTTGCGCCGAATGGGCAACGCATACGCAATTGTACTGCCTCGTAAGATGCGCACGCATCCTACGTTTTACGTTGGACGTGTCCGTATGTACTATCAGTACGAGCTTGTTTCTAGAGGCGAAGAACACCTCCACGGTCGAGATTCAAGATTATCTTCGAGTGGTCTCGTTTCAACGAGCCATTTTAGTCAACTAGCGAAGCGACCTGTTCACGCAGTTGAGCGATGTACCGACGAGCTACAGCCAGCTCATCTTGAAGAAAACGAGTCGAACGTTCGTTTTCAAGTTGCGCGAACGCAAAAGCGGCACGATCGTCCGAATGATCGTGCCTTAGGGAATTTTATTTATTCCTTACGAGATCCTCAAGCCCATAACTCCGAGATCGTTCATCAGCCAGGTCATCTTGCAACTGTTCCGTTACACATTTCAGCTGTTGAACAATAAGCTATATCGACCCTCGAGCTGGACAGGTGTTCACGCCGCCACCATATCCTTTGCTGGACTCAGGAGGTGGTCAACGTTTCCTCGTGGAGCGTATTTTGAACCACCGCGATGTGAATGGCGTCCGGACGAGTTACCTCGTCCGCTGGCGTGGCTATCCACCGACCTGGGACAGCTAGGAGCCTCGTGTCCAGCTATTTGTTGAAGTTCTGGGCCCCGTCAAGCTATATGACGAGACCCACCCGCTGCATTTGGAGAAGGGCTGTCGGGAAATGACCTCTCTGCACGCAATTGCAGGGCATTTCAAGTTATAATACCTTCGGCCATCTCAGAAAAGAGGCGCGCCCTCATTTAGGAGGCATTAGGGAGGTAGGTCTCCCAAGGGGCACGATTTTTATTGTCCAGGCAACTTGTACACGAATCACCCCACGAGAGATATGGTAAATTTGCCTCTCTTGACATTCGGTGCAACTTGTATTGCACACAAACTGAATTTCGCTTTTTAAACCCGATGCGAGCTGCATCAAGATCATCGATCCAGGCCTCACTGTAACGGGGCACCCTGAAGCTTGTACTGGTGACAGTACAAGCTACTTATTCTGATGACAGAATAAGGCGGTGCCTCGTAACTTCACGTACACTCGTACGTGCAGAGGAAGACGGTAAGAAGAAGCGAGTACTTGGTTAAAGTAAAAAGTAGAACTGTATTTATAATAGTTAATGTCTGCAATAAATCACTATTTATCTTCATCTAACTATGTCTAAATATACAAATGTGAATATCAGTTATCTGCTCACCACTCATTGCGTGCGTCTGTCGTGGCGCGTCTTCGTTGGTTGATATAATGGCCTATATCAACCAATTAGGAACTACTCGTAAGTGCTACAGAATATTTGTCCTTATGACAATATTCTGAGAATATAACTCTTATAGTTATATTCTATTAACAATTTCTTATAAATTGTTATGTAACGATTCACCCCGTTACATCACCCCCCCTTAACCATCAGTCACTTTAGTGACTGACTGAGTAAATGGATACTCGTCCCAAATCATTTGGGACAGGGTTTGCACTTGTTGGTCCGAGTCCACTTCCCAACATTTCATCGCATGGTTAACAAGCCCATGCGATGCGCGAGCAAGGTCGCCGAGAGCGCGCCCGCACGTCTCTGTGCGGACGCCGAAGCAGAAACCACAGCAACTGATGTCTCATCGGTTGCTGAAGCGACCCAGCCTGTGTCACTTGGTGATGCAGGCGCTGGTCATGAAGACACTCATGTCTTCACAGAGTACGAGCTCGGTGTCTCGTACTCTCCTGATACGGAAGACGGATCCGTATCGACGGCGATTGAATCCAAGCCGCCTGCCAAGCGTGGCATGGACGATGCTTTGCGTCGCAGCATCTTTGGTTCATTTGATGAATCAGATGAACCATCGCCGAAGCGAAGGCGCTCGAGGTCGCGAGACTCGGGCGCTAACAGTGGTGTCGGTTCTCCTATGGACACCACTTCGCAACGAGGTGCCAGTACTTCTGTCGGCACGTCGCAGGAAGAGCGGGACCGCAATGTGTTGCGTCTCGCTCCCGAGAAGAAGGCATGGATGCCTCCAAAATCCGTCATGGATCACTTGTCGGCGTTGACGAGTGATCGTTATCGAACACGATTGTTCGATTCGTCAAGGATCCATCACCTTGACCCCAGCGCGAAAAACTATCGCGCTGAACATGAATTCTTCATCGATGCTTTCTTTAGACACCGATGGTACAGTGGGAATCACAAACGTGATGGTCCCTCACTGCTTCAGGCGTGGAACGCCTACATCCATAACCTTGAGGATGTAGGTCGTGACGCTTGGAACGACAAACTTATCAAAGCTCGTGATAAGTTTGAAAAGCGAACCCCGACAGGTGCACGCTACAAGCTGCATCGTCTGTCAAGGGAGAAAGGATTACCCTGCCTCTCATGGGGAGATTCGTGCCCATGTTGTGTGAACAACTCTGCACGAGCACCTAAGGAGGCTTACCTCCTTACCAGCCCGTGGTGGCGCGTACGTGTCTCTACTGAGATGTACGAAGGGATTGACAACCTGAAATCCCTTTACGACCGTGCCGGGAAGACTTTCTCCGGCGGTCCTTCTGCGGCACAGGATGTGCCGCGTCGTACTGCTCAACCAGACCCAGTACGTCGATCATCAGTTGGGAGCGGGGCTCCCAAGAATCCCAGGACGGGGGATAGCCGCGCCACCGGACGAGATAACTCGTCCGACGTCCGTTCACGTCGCGGTGGTTCAACAGCTGCTCAACTAGATAGCGCTGGCCACCGCGAGAGTCCTCTAATGGAGGTGGAGGAGGAGGAAAGACGCTCTCCACACGATCATGTGGATCGGTGTGTTCCCGAGAGCTTCTTTGATCGCGTAACGCAAGGGTTACGCGACGATCTCGAACATGAGCGGAATGGGCGTCTCCAAATGGCGGACACTGCCTCGAAGCATCGAGCTGAGTTTGCCTTTGCTCAGCTCGAGAACGAGAGATCTCTGACATCTCTTCGTGACGAGCTAAGGGTAGATCGTGGGATTGTTGATCGGTCTCGGGATGAGATAGCTGCTCTTCAGACCCTTGTTGATGCCCACCATCGGGAGCACAAGGCTCTCTGCGAGATGCTTGAGCGCAAGGGCGTTCTTCATCGGAAGAAGCAGCGTACTGATGGCACGGCTTAAGCCGACCAACGTAAAACGTGGGATGCGTTCGCATCTTACGTGGTAACTCGATCGTGTATGCATTGCCTAGGCGGTGCAATACACGAAATGGGCCGATGTACTTGGGTAGTAGTTTACTACTACCCAAGTTAGTCACTACATGCTTTGGTAGATTAACCGTAGACAGTAGGACTAAGTCACCTTTATTAAATAAAAAAATGTTTGCCCTTCCATTCTTGTCAGCGTTTTGCTTTTGCTTATTCACCGCTTCGGCGATGGAGTCTTGCACAAAACGGACTACCGTTTCACGAGCCAGTATGAACTCATCTGATGACTCGTTAGCTTCAGTGTGCTGTGAGCGCACTGCAGCAACATCAACCTTTTCTTCAGTGAGGGCTTCCGCACTCTCACTGGGATCATCTTCTTCAGTAAGGGCTTCCGCACTCTCACTGGCATCATCGTCTTCAGTGAGGGCTTCCGCACTCTCACTGGAATCAACTTCTTCGACATCGATGTTATCGATATCGGCATCAAACGCAATGACGTCTTCGTCAGAGCGTGATGAGCGTGAACCAAATCGGTTTTTGCTCGCGCGAGTCCCTCCCCCCCTAAACCAGAGTTACACTCTAGTAAGGTGGGTACACGCGGATGGCGCAAGCCATTCACGTAAAACGGTGTATGTGTCGTGGACGCATGCACCGAGTTGTTAATGGCAAACTCGACCATTGGCAAAAACTCACTCCAACTCTTAAAGGAGTGTACGTATCCTCGAAGTATCTCTTCAAGGACACGGTTGGCACGTTCCGTCTGACCATCTGACTCTGGATGATCAGATGTTGACATCTTCAAACGCGTTCCGAGTGATTTGAACACGGAACGCCAGAAATCAGCAGTGAATCGTGGATATCTGTCTGATACGAGTTCACGGGGCAACCCATGAAGTCGGAAGATGGTGTCAATAAAGACACAAGCACAGCCACTTGCCGTGATTGGCTCTGGTACAGCCACAAGGTGTACCATTTTGCTGAATCTGTCAACAAATACGAGAATACCCGTATTCCCGCGTGCGTCTTTGGGTAACCCGAAGACGAAATCCATTGAGATGGATTCCCAGCACTCAGCCGGAACCGGTAGAGGCTGTAAAGGTGCACGCAGTGAAGGACTTGACTTCACTCGTTGGCAGACTTCGCATACGCGAACATACTTTCGCACAAACTGATACTGGCGGGGCCAGTAAAAGTCTCGACTTACCGTGAGATATGTTTTCTCTCGGCCACGATGTCCTCCTATAGGAGCATCGTGATACTCGAACATGATCCGCAAACGCAGATCAGTATCATCTGGAATGACAACACGTGGTGTGTCACCAGAAACGGCTGTATAATACAGTAACCCGTTGCGAGTAGTGTATCGATCTGATGCAGATCGATACGCAGACGACGATCGTTTCAACGATTCTCGAGATGGTTGGGAGAGATGTGACAACAACTTCACTATCTCACCATCTTGGGCGTATGCCCGCCTCACATCATCATACAACGTTGTAGATGGGACTGAGGACGTCATAACCGCAACAGTGACTGTCTCACTGTTGGGTTTCGCGACTGGGTCAAAGTCGGGACGACGTGAGAGTGCATCAGCGACGACATTAAGTCGTCCTGGTTTGTACTCGACCGTAAAGTTGTATTCTGCAAAGAATGACAACCACCGCGCCATTCGTTGAGAAAGGTGCAGGCTGTTCACTGCCGTGCGTAACGACGCATGGTCAGTGTAAACAATGAAGGGTCTATCTCCTAATAGATAGACTCTGAACTTCGCGAGTGCATACTTCATGGCAAGGAGTTCCTTGTCATGCACTGGATAGTTCCGCTCAGCTGGTTGCAGCTGACGCGACTGATAGCAGACGACGCGTTCAACGCCTTCAAGATCGTACTGCATTAATGCGCAGCCGATTGCGAAATCGCTGGCATCACAGACCACATGAAATGGCCTGTCCTGATCGGCTATTGCTAGGACTGGGGATTGTATCAAGCTCTGCTTGATACCCTCAAAGGAGCGTTGACATTCAGCGTTCCATAACCACCTCTCGTTATTTTTCAATAAACGAGAGAGGTGTACAGTCATCTCGGCGTAATTGCGTGAATACTTATGCAAATACGCCGCTAGCCTAAGGAATTTTCGAAGACCTTTGACATCAACCGGCACAGGCCAGTCGGTGATCGCCTTGATCTTTTCAGGATCAGGACGTACACCGTTCTTACCAACGATGCACCCAAGAAGTGGTATTTCGCTTGCTGCAAATATACACTTCTTGAGGTTTGCATACAATTGATGCTTTCGCATGATTGTAAGAACCTGTCGGACGTGGTACCTGTGAACCTCAACGTCCGACTTTCCATCCATAGCTCGACTATGGGTGAATACATCATCGAAATAACTCGGCGCGAATTCTCGTACTGGTCTCAACAGATGTGATACACATCTGTTGAACGTGGCAGGGGCATTACTAAGCCCTTGCGGCATTACTAGCCATTCCCAGAGCATGCCGCTAGGCGTGCTAACTGCGGTATAGGGTATATCCCGTTCTCGCATAAGGATTTGATAGAAGCCATCCATCAAATCCATGGACGAAAAGATGGTACTCTTTGACATACCATCAATGATTACGTCCTTCCTCGGTATCGGCGTCTGAGCCGGTACCGTTGCAGCGTTCAATTTGTTGAACGCGTGCACTATCCGCCACCCTCCTGTTGCTTTTCGCACACAGAAGGTCGGAGAGCTATGCGGGGAAGTTGATTCCCTCACATGGCCCGCTTCTAAACGATCGGCAAAGAACTTGTCGATCGCAAGTACTTGTTCACGAGGCAGTGGCCACTGCTTCACGACACAGTACTTCGAGCCTGGTTTAAGCTCGACCTCGTGTCGAATACCTTTATCCTTCGGTAATTCGCACGGAACAGTTTCAGGGAATACATCCTTGAATTCAACCAAATCTTCATAGAGAGGATTTGTCTTGAGCGATTCCCACGATTGGGAGTCATATCGCTCAATTCGTGTCTTTTCATCTAGGACACTCTCGTCCATAGATGAACTACTGAGAACTCTCTCGTTCTCAGTGAAGACTGTTGCTGACCTTATGTCGGTTACACACTCGTCGTCAGCGACGAGTACGCAGATCTGCTTGACTTTGCCACTACGCAGATCACGCAAGAACCTTTTATGTTCGAGCGTTGGCAACTGAGTGATCTCCGAAGTCAACTTCGGAGGCGCAATTAGATCAAGTGTATAAGCGCCTACACTTGATCGATCATTGACTATGACATTCAATGTCTCTGTCATTTCCTGGGGACTTATTCCCTCAGGCCTCGAAGGACTTATTCCTTCGGCTTCCCGGGGACTTATTCCCGCGGGTTTCGGGGAACTTATTTCCGCCGTATTTGTACTATCGGAACTTATTCCCTTTACTTCCTCTAGCTGGGGTTGCGCAACCACAGCGAGATCCTCTACGAAAGACTCTCCAGTCGATCTAGGATTATCGTTTCGCTTAACCTTAGCGATCGATCGTTTCTCTTCTAGATGTTCCCCGCTAGGGATACATCTTTGTCCCAGTCCACCCGACTTATTCGAGTGGTGGACCTTCGGCGCAGCCTATGTTTCCTCACAGCCGCCGGAACTTTGCTCCGAAGTGTAACCGTTTGGTACACTAAGGTTTTGTGCAGTCGTACTAACGACCGTACCACAAGTGAGGCCATCGCACTCACTCGTAGTACATCCACACGCTTGTGGACGCTCCAAACGTTCATCAGATGGCCATCTGATGAACAAGCGGCAGGCATCGTTACTGTCCGATGTTGCCAGTTTACCCGTGGTTCGTACCTTCTGAGCCACGGTATTATAAGGATGACATCAAATTTGTCATCCAAATCCAATACGATAAAGTCATCGTCATATTGGGTATCTTCTAGCGTATAGTGGATCTTCACTATACGCTTCATGACGGTTACGGATGCGCCTGTCGCAAGACGTACCGTCATCCTCGTAGGAGGTGTGTCACATTCACTGAATTGAAAGTGACCATCTTCTAGCGATTGGCGTCGCACAATATTGTTGGACGCCCCACAATCGACTAGAGCTCGAAGGGACAACTTATTCGTCACTTCGAGTTTCAAGGTAATGAGTGAGACCTCATTACCTAGAGCAGCAACGCACAACGTTTGTGTGTTGGGAGCAACCTTCATCAATAGGCCTACAAATTCTCTTGACGTTGCTGGATCAGTAGGGTGCTCCGCACCTACTGATCCTGTCCGTTTTTTGACGGTCCATCCCGTTGTTGCGTCTTTGCACCAACTGCGGACCCTCGTCCCTGCCCCTTTCTCATGGGTGGACGGTCACTACGCCCAATGTCGCGAGACACTGGACGAGGGGCACTACACTCGTAAGCGTAGTGTCCTGTCTTTTGACATCTGTTGCATCTCTGCAACTTCTTGTAGCCTGTAGAGCGATCCTTCTCGCTCTCTAAATTACAGAGTTCCATCGGCTCTGGACCTCCGTTGTCATATCGTCTCGGTTGACGATATGATGTCGAGCTGGCGCGAGCCTGTCTCAGACTGAAGTCTTCCTGCTCCGCAATGGAAATGGCTTGTTCTAGTGAATCTAGTTCAAGCCGGAACAGGTGAGTCTTGACGGGACCATCCGCAAGACCCTGCATGAACACCGAAACCAACGTGTGTTCATCCACCGGATTGGAACTTATACAACTCGTGAGATGTCGTATATGTTGAGCGTAAGCGTGTACATCACGCTTACCCTGCTTGAGCTTCAAGAGTTCGGTTCGAGCTCTGAACTCAGCTCTAGGTGGTTCAAACGTTTGTCTGAGCCGCGACTTGAAGACTTCCAACGACCCAAACGCATATGGGTCGTGCAACTTGAGCCCCAGTACCCAAGTCTTGGCACGTCCTGCCAGATTTGACTGGGCAAATGCAACTTGCATATCCCCGTCGTCGATGCGACGCGCCCTTATGGCGTCATCCAATTCGACGAACCATCTCAAGAGGGAGTCTTCTTCGACCCCCCTATACTTGGAGATGTCAATCTTCAAAGTCTCGGGTCGACGCGAGTGCATCGACCCACCAGCAGCAGCCTGCTGCTGTCTCAACAGTTCAAACTGTTGAGCACCCTGTTCTCTCAACAACTCTGCTTGTTGAGAACCTTGTTGGTGAAGCAAGGCTACTTTCTCGCTTTCAGCGTCAAGATCATTTTGAATGAACTTGGCGATAGTAGCATGTTGGGCATCTCTATTGAGAGCTTCTAGCATGACGCTAACAGCATGGATGCCCATGGTCGAACCCATTCGTTCAACCGCATCCCATTCGACATCGCTCAAATGGGAGTAGCCGTCACGCGTAGCGTGAAAGCTATGGTCATCTTCATCATCCAACAAATTCATGTTGGATGTGAACGCGGTCCTTGGACGGACTACGAAGTGCTACCAGGTGTAACGGGGCACCCTGAAGCTTGTACTGGTGACAGTACAAGCTACTTATTCTGATGACAGAATAAGGCGGTGCCTCGTAACTTCACGTACACTCGTACGTGCAGAGGAAGACGGTAAGAAGAAGCGAGTACTTGGTTAAAGTAAAAAGTAGAACTGTATTTATAATAGTTAATGTCTGCAATAAATCACTATTTATCTTCATCTAACTATGTCTAAATACAAATGTGTAAAT